GGCCGCTCTTGTTCCACAGAGGGTGAGGGACTTCACCTCTACGCTCTCCCTTTCTCACAACCACTGTCCACTTTATTGATAAGGTGACAGAGACAACTTTGCTGGGGGAAAACAAATATCCTCAGAGGTCCGAAAGCCACTTGGATGACCTCTGAGATCCCTTCCTGCTCCAGTGGTGTGGTTTTCTGAACTTAGAATTGAGTCACAGACGTGGAAGCTGAAGTGGCAGTGCTGTTCGTGGCTCTGTACGTGCCTTGGGTGTTTTGCAGGCGGACAGTCCGGAAGACATGCACAGCTGGATTAAGGAGATCGGGGCAGCTGTCCAGGCCCTCAAGTGCCACCCCAGAGTAAGTCACTTCCTTCCTGCTCAGTCACTGTCAGCCTTGCGATGAGTTGTCCCGAGTGGGCGGGTTTTGGTGATGTAGGCAAGCAGCCCAGAGCCCAGATGCAGTAGAAACCCCGAGCTGTCATGTTTGTTTTTCTGTTTCCACTGATCTGGGTACAAATTTTTATTTCTGTTCAGTCATTGGAGGAGGTGAGGTAGAGTTGGATAGAGAACCAGGGCTTCTGATGTGTCCTACACATCTCCCTCCCAGGGAGTCCTTGACACCTGCGGAGTGAATGCCGCCGCTGGACATAGTTGATTTCTGTAGACATGTATCTCTGGGCCTGTGAGGAGGTGATCCTGGGCGGAGGGCCTCTTCCTGGGCCTTTGGGACGAATATTGTCAGGAAACCTTATTTTTCTTTTTTCCCCTCCCTCTTTAATTTTCCGCAGGAGATGTCCTTTTCTCGGTCCATTTCTTTGACCCGCCCCGGAAGCTCCAGCCTCTCAGGGGGGCCCAACTCTGTCTTGTGCAGAGGGCGGGTTCCCGGGGAGGAGAGAAAGACCCTCTGCAAAGCCCCCTCCCTGGCCTCCTCCTGGCAGCCCTGGACACCCGTCCCCCAGGCCGGGGAAAAGCTGCTTCCCACTGAAGAGACTTCTGAGGACTCTTTGTTCACGCCTCGACTTGGGGAGAGCAGTACATCTGGGGTGCCGTCCAGCTCCCGGATAAGGCACCGATCGGAACCCCAGCACCCCAAGGAGAAGCCATTTGTGTTCAACCTCGATGATGAAAACATACGGACCTCTGATGTGTGATGATACGCAGTGCCCTGGGAGGGAGGGGGTGGACTCAGACAAGGGGCCGTGACTCGGTGTCTGCATCTGACGCAGGACAATCAGACACCTTCCTGGCACTCGCATCCCTGTGGAGCCCTGGCGTGGGAATCCAGCTGACTTTTTACAGAAAATGAGTGCGGTGGTTTTCATTTGGGAAGGTCACTAGGTTAGACCTGTCGGCTTGCTCGTTGTGCCTCTTGCTTGACTCTTCCACGGTCCACCTGGTGAGAGGAGGCTGGAAGTCCAGTTTCATTCCTAACCAATTTTCAGTTCCTTGTCTTTGTCTTAGCTTCTTCCCTTTGTTTTCAGGCCAGGCCAGAACTTTAAGGCCAGTCATTTGGTCTTATCCTATTCTTATACATTGGCGGAAGTTTGACTGTGAAGTGGGAGGGTGGTAACTAACCCAACTGAAAGGGTTGGGGGGGTGGTAGTGGTTGGGGGAGCGGGGGACCCAGGCTCCAGCTTGGTCAGGATACATTCTAAGGGATGGTGTTAAAATCTGGGGGCTCACAGGAGGCCCCGGATGTCAACCAGGGAGATTCTGCCCCCTCCCCCCCCACAGGGGACCGCCATAAGGGAAGAAATAGGGGCCTTTTGATGGTATGGGGGACTAATTCAACCCCAGTGCATCAGCCAATTTTGAGAATTACTCTGTTCTCTTTGAGATGTTCTTTGACCCCAAATACTGTCGCCATGAGAGACAGACCTGCCCGCCCCGTTTCTGTGTCAGACCCTTAGGATGGGCTGATACTATCAGTGTTCGGTGTTGAGAGCGAAACAGACATTGCTCTTGATATGGTGTTAACTGAAATGTGTTGGAGGATTGATGAGTGTATGGTAATTCACTTGTGTGATCCTTCAGATCTCTATCTTAGAGTTTGAGAGTTGCTATAAAGCAGGTGCCAGGAAGAGATGGAGTTTAGTTCACCCAGCTAAAATGTTTTGATTCATGTTTTCCCGACAGAGGAAAAAGTCTCTTTTAGCAGAGACATATTATCTCGGGCCCTGGCCTCTCAACTCTTCTTTCATGGGCTGATGCTAGTCTTGTATTCAGTGCTGTACATAGTATACCTGGCAGATTTGATTTCTTTCTGTTCTTTGTGTTGCCTTTTGGATGATGCCTTGTGTCTACTTGCATGAGGACACCTCATCGTCTGATGAGGTTCTGTGTGCTTAACACCGAGGAGATAACAAAGTTAGCCTTGACAGATATTTATATTTTTAACAAGAATAGAAACTGTGCATAGAAACATTGATTTAGAGGCTCTGCATTACTGGCTAGAGATTTCCCAGGTAGAAGAGCATAGACTGTATTTCCCATCCTGTATTTTAGGATGTACCTTCTTCCATTTGTCAAGAAATACTATTTCCAGGGTTCCTGGGAGAATCTGTCTGTCCAGCTTATGTGGTGAACTGCTACCAGGGTTCCCTAAAGGGAGGGAATTTTGACTCATTTCTGTCTATAACTTTGTATCAGCTAGATGAGTTAATTTTTGTCTTTAAATTAAAAATTAACAAATAGAGCAGGAGACTAAGAGAAGCATTTTTACCTAAGTCAGTCCCTTCCCCTCCTGATGTTCACATCCAACAGCAGCAAAAAACACGTGGTCAGAAAATCCTTAGTGGCTTGAGGGAAACCTGTTTCTTTCAGGCAGGTAGTTTCCTTGTCAGGTTCTGAACTTTTCTTGACTGAACTGCTTTAGTGATAAGCTTCACTTAAATTGTTTGGCCCATCGGTCCTGGTTTGAAAAAGGAAATCTACCCTGAATTTCTCTCTCTTTCTCTTTTCCTTATTCTGAAGCCTCTTGTATTCTTTTGTCTTGAAAATCCCTTCTTTGGGGATTACTTATTTATGAGTAATCAGGTGACAACATATTTCAAGTCACCCGATTTCGAGAAGCCATTCCCAGTTCTTCAAGTCCTTTGTCTCAGGTTTCATCTTCAAAGTTCCCATAAGAAAATTCTTTGGCTAGGTCAAAGAAAGTGCACAGAGATACAGAACTAATAAAAATAAATTAGGAACTTTTGAGATCTCTCATACATTCCCTGACTCATGGAAAGATGTCATCTCTTGGTGTGTCAGATGTGAAAATCTACCCATTTCTTCCTCTCTTTTCAATAAGCTCTCTGCTAGATTACTACTGCTAAATTAATTGGCCATTACAGTAAGCTGATCTGTTTCTTACTCAGTAAGAGCTGTTTTGAGAATGTATTAAACATACTTATAAATTCAGATTGTATTACCATGATAGAGGGAAAACAAGGATTCTAGTTGGCAGATCCTTGGGAATTCCCAGTTAGAATGTTGTTAACGTAGCTCCAACACCAGATAAATATAACTATCTTCAGTGAAGCCTAGAGGCATGCTCATTGCCAAATCTTACTTCAGAATCCCTTTTGTGTCCATTGTTTCTTAGCTTCTGGTTAATTTCACATCATACATTTTAACGTCACTACATGTGTGAGCCAAAGATGGTGCGTATACGACCAAAGCGTTTGGTTTAAAATGTGAAAAGTGGAACCAAATGGGAAAAACAGGGCAGGGATGCAGGATCGGTTAGTAGTTAAGTGCATAGGCTCTGGAATAAGTCTTGTTTCTTTTAAAAAAAAAAGGAGCCAAAAAAGGTACTGCATTTTTGTGTGTATATGGGATAAAAGCATTTTCTGAGTTGCTGTTTTTTATAAGACTTTAGATGTGGTCTTGACCCACTGTGTCTAACAGTTTCAGGTTCTTGAAAGTTAAGGATTTGCTGGCTCAGGGTCAGCTGATGGCTGTTGAAGGTAGTTTGGCCTTTTGCATTCTGTGAGATGACAGTTCTACTAAGATGTTCATCAAGTAAGGTGATTTTAGGTGAAAACAGAAGAGGTACACATCGGTTTCTGAATAGAATGAGGGGCTTCCAGAGTCCAACTTCATAGGTCACTTGAAGCAGAAGGGAGTTTTTTTGTTTTTCTTACCTCCCCTCCCCCACAACGTAACTGTGGTCTGATATGGACTAAAAGGATCCAATACGTAAGTGGCAGATTCAGTAGCTGAGCTGTGAGATTAGATATGTTTGTTTTCACTGTTAACTAGATAGACATAAGGAGGTAGTAACTAGCATTTTGGAAACTGAGTTTCCCAAATTAGCTTTGTTTATAAGCTTCCAACATGTCAGAAATAGTTTCTACCAGCCATCACTTTCTATTCCCTTACTCCCCTTTTCTCTCTGTGTTATTGCCTGCAGTAGTGAATTACAGTCACTCATGCCTGGTAGAGTTTGAATAAAGTGAATATTTGGCCCCAAACCATACTGTTTGACCCCTTACCGGCTGTTCCAGAAGGTGTGGTATGATCCTGTGTTTTGAACCAGCCTGTTTCAGCTGAAATGCACTGACTTGCAGCCTGAGCTGAGTGCATGGAAACTCTTAACGCTTCTCATTTTATGTGATCTCCTAATTGGTATGTAGCAAAAATAATTTTCTAAAACTGTTTTGTTGCTTGTTTTGTAATAAAACCACGTGAAATACTGAAATGTGGTGCATGTTTTCCTAAGGCTGACCGTCTGTCCGTGGGTGGGTGATGTGTCTTGTCAGTCTGCCCCCGTTCTGGGTGTTACTGGTTTCATGAGGTGGGTCCCTGGGGGTGCTCGGGGAAGGGCCGAGGACAAGTCTCCATCTCCTGGGACTGGACGGGATGGGTTGAAGGGGGGGTTACAGCGGGGGGGCGGTATGGTGAGGACTGCCAGGCTCTGCCCTTTAAAGTCGGCGGCTGGCGAAGGCAGCACCCCAGTCCAGAGACTGCTGCTCATCTGAGAGGGTCCAGAGGGAAGGCGGAAGGGAAGCAGGACGCGAGCAGGATGACCAGACCCCTGCGGCGGCCTGCCGGGCTCGGACCGTTCGTCCTGCTGTGGCTGCTGCTGCCCACGCCAACTGGGCGCGGGGTCCAGGCCGGGCGGGCCTGGCCCGTGCCGCCCTGCCCCGCGGCCTGCGAACCCACCGCCCTTTGGGCACCTGCGGCTGCCCGGCGGCGGGAGCGACCGTGTGCGGCAGCGACGGGCGGACCTATCCCAGCCTGTGTGCGCTCCGCGCCGAGAACCGCGCCGCGCGCCTCCGTGGCGCGCTCCCGGCAGTGCCGGTGCAGAAGGGGGGCTGTGGGGACCCAGGTGAGCCGTGGGCGCGCGCTCTCGGCGCCCCCTTCTCGCTTCTTTAAGCAGCGAGTTCCCATCGCCGGGTTCGCCGCCGCCTCCTCCCGGCTGACTTTCCAAAGGGAGTCAGCGCCTCCGAGCTCCCGATTTTATTCCCTCCTTGTATGGTGGCTCAGGGGTGAAGAATCCTCCTGCCGATGCTGGAGACGCAGGGGAGATCCCCCGGAGGCGGGCATGGCGACCCACGCCAGCGTTCTTGTCTGGAGAATCCCGTAGACAGAGGAGGCCTGGTGGGCTACAGTCCATGGGGTCGCAGAGTCGGACACAACTGAGCGCGCACGCTCCTGAGATTTGGTGTCTGGTTACTGGCTCCCATGTGGTTGCTCCCCAATTTTCTCCCCATAGCTGTTGACCACCGTCTTCCCTTTTAAGTAATTTCCCCATCAGGATGACAGGTCTGGTCTCCTCAAGGTGTATCCTCATGGGGACCCCAGTGAATACACAGAGGGAGACCGTAGAAAGGAAAGAGAGGGAAAGACGGGAGAGAGGCCGAGAGATTTGAGAGGTGATACTCGATGCGGGAAGGCAGCCAGGGTCCTACTCCTCCAATCCCTGCCCCAGGAATAAAGCATCTCTTCGCAGGGACCGGAAGCGCAGGCTGGCTCAGGAGCAAGTTCAACTTCATCGCCTCGGTGGTTGAGAAGGTGGCCCCGTCCGTGGTTCATTTACAGCTGTTTCGCAGGTAAAAGGGGTCGGAGGAGGAAGCTAGACCTCTGGGCTAAGTTTCCTGAGAGCCTCTCTGCTCCATCCACCCCGCCCCTCTACTCCCACCGCGTCGGCCCTTCCAGCATCAGTTAGTTCTCCCAGCGTCACTTAGTCTTAGAAACCGCCTTGAGAAAATCAAGGGGCTCAAAGACCTAGTATGGTCTGTTGGTCGTTTTGCCAAAAGCCCTAGTCATAAGGATTTCCGATTTGCAAATCTGAGGTACTCCTCTCCCTCAGACAAATTCGAGGTCAAATGCAAGAGCCAGGAGGCATCTCAATGGTGATCTTGCCTGGCATCTTCTGCATGAAAGGAATCCCAGACCCAGAGGGCAAGAGAGACTTGTCATATGTCACAAGGCCAGTTTGTAGTGGAAACTAGGCAGGGACCAGACTTCCCTGACTCCCTCCCTGCTTGGGTGCTGGATAAAGTGGCGCTAGGTCCACTTTTGCCCCCAGGATTAGGTTTAGTTGCTGAGTCGTGTCTGACTCTTTAGTGACCCCATGGACTGCAGCCTGCCAGGCTTCTCTGTCTGTGGGATTTCCCAGGCAAGATACTGGGTGTGTTGTCATTTCCTTCTCCATGATTAGGTTAGTCCTCTTTGAAGCAGAGGACAGCTGCTTTGAACAGCAAGAAGGGGGCATTCCTAGAAAAGGAGAGTTGGAATCAGCTCTCAGTCCTGTTCCTAAGGGATGGCCAAGGCATTGAATACAGAGTCCAGTTAACGTGGAGAGAATGGAAACAGGGAGAAGTAAAATGTCTGAGGAAACTAGGGTGAGAGAGTGTTTGATAAACGCCGGGTTTCTCCGGCCTCCAGACTATGGCGGATGCCCTGATTTGCCCGCCCTCGGCTTATAGTGTTGTCTTGCTGAGACAGGTCGCCTCTCGGCAGTGAGGATGTTCCTGCATCCAGTGCCTCTGGCTTCATAGTGTCTGAGGATGGGCTCATTGTTACTAACGCCCACGTCCTCACTAACCAGCAGCGGATCCAGGTGGAGCTGCAAAGTGGGGTCCAGTATGAAGCCACCGTCAAGGACATTGACCATAAACTGGATCTTGCCCTAATTAAGATTGAGCCAAATGTGAGTCTGCGTATTTGGGGATTTCCATCAACTTGCTGGTCTTTTCTCCTCCATCCGATCACACATCTTTTCTTCTTGGTATATGCGTGCTTCACCCCCACCCCGGTTCTCTTTCTTTCTCTTTGTCACTCCTTCTTTTGTTTATTTTCTTCTGTGCCCGTCTGTCTGTCCCTAGCGATTTCTATTAACTACACAGCTGTCTTTTTTCTGTCCTTCACTTCCTTCTCTAACAGAGACTGCTTCTGGGAAACTTATTTCTCTGCTGTCTTAGAACACCAGACAGGACTGTAATGGATTCCAAGCTGCTCAGATGTGCTTTGAGTTCCTTGCTATGCAAAGTGGTCCACACCCCGGCAGCACTGACATCATCTGAGAAGTGTTTAGGAAACTCAGATCGACTGAATCAGAATCTGCCTTTTCTTATTTTATTTTATTCTCCTCTATAATGCTATGGTACTATGCTCTCTTTTATTTTTTTTCTCTTTAACCTCCCACTCCCCCCACCATCCCACCCCTCTAGGTCATCACAGAGCACTGAGCTGAGCTCCTAGTGCTAGACCGCAGCTTCACACCAGCTATCTGTTTTGCACATGGTAGTGTGTATATGTCAGAGCTACTCTCCTGATTCGTTCCTCCCTCTCCTTCCCACCCTGTGTCCACATGTCCATTCTCTATGTCTGTGAGAACCTACCTCTTAGTGTGATTCCCAAGAGGTTAATGTGCACAGCAACGAGAAAGACTGCTTTGGGTGACCTCCTTTCTGGTCATGGCTTATTAACTTTGCAAACTCGTGAGCTGGAGTGGGGCTGAGTAAACTGCTGACATCGATTTATGCTTCATCAATTAACTTCACTTTGTTTACTTATCATTATTTCTACAAGTGGTGATTTTAGATTTTAGAGATGGTCTGATCATCTTAACAAGTGAGAGTCTGGTGTAGTCGAAATGTAAGGAAGAAGCCTCAGGCAGTTGTAGAACTGAGGTGCATGGTTGATTCTTAGATTGCGGGTGCTAAAATGGTAGAGTATGTGTCGTATATCTGTTGTACACAAATGCTGATTGAGTCCATTCTTGATTTATCCACCTCATCCCTCCTCACCCACATACAGACTGACCTCCCTGTATTGCTGCTGGCAAAGTCATCTGACCTGCGAGCTGGAGAGTTCGTGGTGGCCTTGGGGAGCCCGTTTTCACTGCAGAACACGGTGACGGCAGGAATTGTCAGCACCACCCAGCGAGGGGGCAAAGAGCTTGGGCTTAAGGATTCGGACATGGATTATATCCAGACGGATGCCATTATTAATGTAAGTCATGGGGGTGGCTGTCCTCAGCCTGTAAGATGCAGTGGCCAGTAAGATCTCACTGGCAATGCAGTGAGAAGAACACTTCAGGGTACCTTTGTTTCCCTTCGGCCTTTCAGGGATGTTCAGAGGTCAGGTCTGTCCTCGTGCGAGGGATGGAGTGCCAAGCTGTTAGTGGTCAGCCTGTGTGATGTGATAACTGGCATCCACGATACTGGATGGTCTCTTAGGGTCTGTCACAGAGGTCATCGCTACCATAGGAAGTGGTGGTCCTCTTGATGTTGTTCTTTTTTTTAAATTTTAAAATATTCATTTATTTATTTATTTATCTATCTGAGTCTTAGTTTTGGCACTTGGGATCTTTAGTTGGGGCATGTGGAATCTAGTTCCCTGACCAGGGATGGAACTTGGGGCTCCTGCCTTGGTAGTGCAGAGTCTTAGCCTCTGGACCACCAGGGAAGTCCCCTCTTCCTATTGTTCTTTTCCTGCACTGATTTCGGAATTGATGATGATGCAGCCTGCCTTTGCCTGCTGTGGGGAACAGGGGCTCACTAGAACAGGCTGCTTTTGATAAACCTCTTTAGGGACTATGTAGACATGACCAGGAAAAAAGTACTGATGGCTTTTTCCAATTCTGTCTTCAGCACGGGAATTCTGGGGGGCCTCTAGTGAACTTGGTAAGTAGCCACTTTTTTTTTTTTTTGCTGCCTCACACCTCTTCCTAGCTTTCAGAGACTTTTCAGAGACATTTCATGGTGCAGATGACGATGTTGCTCCTGTGTAGAGATGTGTGGTCTGGTGCTTTTCTATTATTGCACCGTAAGTAAAGAGTTAGGAAAATTTCAGATCTACGATGGGTTTGTCATCCTGGCGTGTGAGCTTATCCAGTTGAGGGTGCCAGAGGTTCCTTCACACCTGCTTACATCTCTTCCATGTGTTCTCTGCTTTTGTTGGGTACTTAACAAAAGTCCTGGGTACTAAACCCAAATTATGTCAAATGACCACTGTACTGTGGAATGTATATCCTTGCTGACCTCCTGCTTCTGCATGTGAAGAACTAACTCTCATCCCAAAATTTAATATTGACCTGCATAGAGATGATAAAGGCATCAACAATAGTCCATTGCTCTGTCATGTACTTAATTCTTAAATTTTATTCAACATCCCTGGTGGCAATGCCAGGGTTTCTCGTTGCTCAAATACATGTGACAACCTGAGAGGCAGTGCTGTCTGAAACACATCCTGTGACCGTGGCCTCTGAGTCCCTTTGAGTGCGTTGTTTTTGGTTCCTCTTTTCATGTTACACTTGCTTGTAGGAGGATGAGTTGGGTGTGAAATCACTGAGCACTTTTTACTTATAACATTGCACATGGTTTTGGGCCTGCTTTTTCTCCAGTAGACAATGAATTTACTAGAGTGGAGAAGAAATGCAGAATTTCAAGTCATATTCCAGACCTATTGAATTATAATCTATGTTTCAGTGTGATAGGAAGTCTCTCTTTTTTTTTTTTCTCCTGCCCATTACCTCACAAAAGCTAAGGGATGATGAAATTCAGAAAAAGTATTTCCCACTTCATAAATTATGTTTAGGGGAGCTTTGTCCCTAAGGTCAATTTGCCGAATCTTCTGAATAGTTTCATTGAAGTGTGACTGAAAGTCAACAGCTTTTTGCCTTTATCATGTTTATTTTTCGCCTCATTTAAGGAATGGAAAGGCGTATATTCCTTATCCTCTTATCTGTGTTGAAATATAAACTGTGGTTCACTTTGAAAAATCAATGTAATTTGAGCAAGAAAAAAAAAAGAGCTCAGGATTAAAACCCGAAACTCCTCAGTAGGAATCTGTACTGGAGTAGGTCCCCCGTGTAACCCGCCATCCTGCTGGTCCCCTAAGATGACACCTGCTGCTCCACCCGAAGCATCCCTCAGCTTCTCTCCTTCCTCTGCCTGTTTGGTCTGCACGGCTGGGCAGCTGGGCAATGTCCCCTCCTTCGGCAGGATGGTGATGTGATTGGCATAAACACGCTGAAGGTGACTGCAGGAATCTCCTTTGCAATTCCCTCGGATCGCATTAGGCAGTTCTTGGCCGAATTCCATGAGCGCCAGTTGAAAGGTAAGGGGAGCTGGTTTGGACTTTTTTTCCTCTCCAGGCTTTCTGGTGACTCAGATGGTAAAGAATATGCCTGCAATGCAAGAGACCCAGCTTTGATCCCTGGGTCAGGGAAGAAATAGCAACCCACTCCAGTATTCTTGCCTGGAGAATTCCGTGGACAGAGGAGTCTGGCGGGCTACAGTCCATGCAGTCGACAAGAATTGGACGTGACCGAGCAACTAACACTTTCACTTTTCACCTTTTTCTTCCCCTCCAGTGCTTTTCAGGAGCCCTCAAAGGCCTTACCTGTGGCGGAGACACTCCTTCGAGTTCTGTAGAAAACAGAGTTATGTTTCATGTTAGACCCAACTCCGATCACAGTGGGGCCAGGCAGTAATACCGGGGGTCAGGCACAAGGCCTGGCATGAGGTGTACCCAGAAATACTCGGATTGAATTGATGTGGAAAGGAAAACCCGGGGCTGGAAGTGGGGCTGTGAGTCTGCGCTAATGAAGAAGGTTCTCTGAAGCACGTTTGTCTTGGCCAACAGCCTGAGAGGGCAGTTATAATTGGAAGGAATATTCTGTGACTCTGGGTCTTTTAAGCTCTGCCCAAAGGAGAGCGGTCTTGTTGTCAGTAACACAGTATAATTTTCCTTTCCAGGAAAGGCTCTCTCACAGAAGAAATATCTGGGTCTGCGCATGCTACCCCTCACGATGAAGTAAGAACGGGCTTTGACTATGTCTGGGTTGTATTTCAGAAGCAAAAGTTACAGATAGAGAGTCTGCACGGGGAAGGTAGAGGATGTGGTCAGCAGCGGACGAATCACCTACCCCTTGTCACGGAGTTGGTGACCGCATCTGCCAGTACTGACGCACTATGCTTTCCACTGGACTCTTTCACTTGTGGCCGTATTTTTTTCTATTTACTTTTTTTCTTTTGGCTGCACCACTTGGCACGTGGGATCCTCGTTCCCCGACCAGGGATTGAACCTGTACCCCTTGCAGTGGAAATTCAGAGTCTTACCCACTGGACTGTCAGGGAAGTCCCACTATGGCCACACTTTATAATATCCAGTGGTTCTAGGCTTTGGCACCGAGACTCAGGGGAAGAATGACTGTGGCCCTGTGACCAGCTAGATGGCATCCTTGTCCCCTTGGCACGAGCCTTGGGCCAAGCAGAGTCCCTGCTGAGAGCTAGGGGCGGGCCAGGGCTAGCTCACTGTGCTTCCTAACCTCCTGGGGAAACTTGTCACTCTTCCTAGCCTGCTTCAAGAAATGAAAAGGCAAGATCCAGAATTCCCTGACGTGACTTCTGGGGTTTTTGTACATGAGGTGATTCAAGGAACAGCTGCTGAAAGGTAAGAGCAGTGCAGGCCCCGGCCCAGGCTCCTCCGTTCTCACTAGATGTGTCCCGTGGTAAACGTAGGATCCAGGGTCCTGTCCCGTACCGTGGGCCCCACCGCCAGAGGCCACTGAACACCTGAGGGGTGTGGCTGGCCGACTGCATTTTACATTTTGTGTGTGCTTGCGTGCTAAGTCGTTCAGTCCTGTCCGGCTCTTTATGACCCTGTGGACTGCAGTCCACCAGGCCCCTCTGTCCGTGGGATTCTCCAGGCAAGAATACTGGAGTAGGTTGCCATTTCCCTTCTCCAGGAGCTCTTCCCAAGCCAGGGATCAAACCTGCTTCTGTTAAGGTCTCCTGCATTGGCAGGCAGGTTCTTCACCGCTAGCCACCTGGGAAACACCATTTTGCATTTTACTTAATTTTAATTGATAATTAAAACAAAGCAAAACAGAAGCAATGTAAAATGTTTTCCCATGAAGCATACCTTTTTCTGTTGTTGTTCTAGGAAGATTGCATTTTACTTTAATAACTGCACTGTGCAAGAAATTATCATCAGGTATATGCTGTTTCTAGAAGATTCAAAGAGTGTAAAATATGTATAATAGTTATTAAAATATGACATGTTAAAATGATATTTTAGATATATAGTTAAGACATTAAAGTACATTTTTATATTATATGTTAGTTTCATCTGTTTAAAAATTATAGAAAAAGTTTTTTTAATGTGGCTACCAGTTCCATAAATTTAAATTAATTTTGCTAGAATTTCCAAATCTGTTCTTTTGCTACCTTACTTAATAAGAATCAGAAGAATCTGGAGGGTTAGGAGTTTAGGAACATATTTTAGGTACTTTAAAATCCTGGATGACACTAAAGAATTCTCTGACACTATCAGAAGCCAGCACTAAACAAGTACATAAAGTGAATAAAGCAAAGGCTAGAGACGTTTTGAGAGATATCCAGTAACTACTGAGAGAAAAGATGACTCGGCCTACAATGATTCTCCTGGTCTCTCTCTTATGCTTCTTGCATATCCTTCCCTCACTGTTTTTGTTTTTATAAGAGCTCAACAGTCTGCTTAGATTATGTTAACTCTTTTCATAGGGCAAGAATCTATAGGGTACTAACTGTTCGGAACAGCTGAGTGTTAGGCTTCCAGTTACTATATTTGACTTGCCACTGGCTTTTCTAGACTTTCTGGGTCCCTGCCCCCATTTATTTTTAACTTTTGGTTCAAGGCCAAAGCTATTTCTTTCAGCTCTTCAGTCCTTGCTCCTCAAAATGTGGTCTGTAGACCAGCAACAATGGCATCAGCTAGAGCTTTTTAGAGTGACAGGAGTACCACTGGAAAAGAATTTGAAAAAGAATAGATACGTGTAGGCGTTACTGAATCACTGTGCTGTACACCGAAACTAATACAACACACTCCAGTATAAAATAAAAAGTTTAGAAAGAATCAGAATCTGCTTTTTAAATAAGATCTTCAGGGGATTCAGGTGCACATTACACAGTGGGAATTGCTGCTGGCTTGAAGTCTCTGATAAACTGGAAATATTCCTGGTGTCACCCACTTATAATAGTGATAACAATTCCAGTAATAGCTGGCATTTATCAACCACTTACTGTGTCAGGCATCATTTAAAGGGTCTTATGTACTTGTTCAAGTCCCCAATAATTTTGGGATATAGGTATTATTTTAGAGGCAGCAAATGGGGTGCAGAGGTTAATTACCTTGGAAGTTACATGATGTGTCAGTCAGAAGGCAGGGATGTGGGACCTGGCTTGGCCCCTGTATTATCCTACTCTTGCGGCTGCTGTTATTGTTTCTGAGAGGCAGAGTGACTAGCAGGAAGATGGGTTTTCAAGTCTGAAACATCCAGGATGAAATCCTACTTTAGCTTCTTACAAGCTGACAGTCGTGGGGAAGGTCACTTATTCTGTCTGAGCCCCACTTCCCCATATTTGATGCATAGTTTGCATCCAGTAATACTTTACAGGTTTCTTTTTCTACTTACAGAACTATTGAATTAACTTCTTTCTTTGTGCACCATACCAGGCACCAACGCCCCCTCCTACGCCCCCGCCCCCAGCAACTGCCCTTGTTCTCAAGGATTTCTCTGCTTTTAGCTCTATCCTTGAACTTCTCTTCATATGCACTTCCTTTAAATTTGTTTTCGCTTTTCTTCTTTTTTTTAAAAAATAAACTCCACATACCCTGATAATCCTCCCACATTCTAATTTCTTCCCTGGGCTTCTCAGCTTCCTATTCTTCACTCTTTTTTTTTTTTGGGCTGTACCTCGTGGCTTTTGAGATCTCAGTTCCCTGACCAGGGGTCTAACCTGGCCCCCTGGCAGTGAGAACACAGAGTCCTAACCACTGGACTGCCAGGGAATTCCACCAATGCCCACCCACACCCCCCGCCATTTCCCTCAAATGGTGTCTCCTGCGGTCATTTAATTTGACTTCTGGCCTGTTTTTGACTTTAAGACAGATTGTCCACATGACTATATATTTACTGTACTGTTTTGTATCTGGAACATTTTGTTTCTAGAACATATATTCTATGTGAAACAAATATGTTGGAGGCGGAGTATAATCACAACTTTGAGGGAAAGAAGCCTAGTATCGGAGCCTTACATATTTAGAGCTTGGAGCTTGGTGACTGGTTTTTGACTTTCTGGAAGCTACTTCCGTAGTACAGCTTAGCATACCCTCCAAGTCCATAAATTCTAGGTGAAGGTGGGGCAGGTAAGTGGGCTGTCAACATCTCACTGATCAGAGTGTAACTGTCCGGAAAAATATGTATTGCTTGGGCTTTTCACATTTATTGGTAAGGTCGAGGGTATGTTTCAGGTTAAGTGAGGTCAGGGGTTAACAGAAAAGCTCAACTCCCTATTCCAAACCAAATCTAACATATGGGAGGAGCAAATTTCATACACACGATTCTGGTGGAATATGAATTTTAGAAAGGTGAATAGGGTTGTTGTCCTCCAGTGATTCTGCAGCATATATTAGAACAGCCCCCATATTTGGAAGTGAAAAGTGAAAGTGAAGTCGCTCAGTTGTGTCTGACTCTTTGCAATCCCATGGACTGTAGCCTGCCAGGCTCTTCCAAAAATGGGATTTTCCAGGCAAGAATTACTGGAGTGGGTTGCTATTTCCTTGGGATCTTCCCAACCCACGGATCAAACCCAGGTCTCCTGCATTGCAGGCAGACTCCTTACTGTCTTTGCCAGCAGGGAAGTGGCACATTTGGAAGGATGGAGGCTATTTCTGGTTCCCTGGTTTGCATGCTTAATGTCAGCACGATAGTAGTGCCTTAAGGGACAGACATTAAATTCTAGGTGGGGATTAAGTCAAACTCTTAACAGTTTCATGGTCCTTTTTTCTCCCCTCCCAGCTCTGGGTTGAAAGACCATGATGTAATTGTCAGCATAAACGGACTGCCTGTCACCACGACAACTGATGTGGTTGAAGCTGTTAAGGCCAATGATTCACTTTCCCTCCTGGTTCGTCGCAAAAGCCAAACTTTGATTCTGACAGTTACACCTGAGATAATCAATTAAGAGCCTTGCTTTAAAGATAAATTATCTAACAAAACCAAAGCCACGTTACCTGGTTTGTATTGAAGATGTGCCAGTGATGGCAAGGGGTTTTAGGATCTCCTTCTTTTAAAGAAAAATGTGTGCTTTAGAACGCACATACACACATTCCAGAACCATCAGGTTGGGGGTGTTAGAACTGCTGCTAAGGAGCCTAAGGCAAGATGGACATGGTGCCAGGAAGTCTGGGGAGCTGATAACTTTTTATTTAAAGACAGGAAACAACTGAGTATAGGAAGTTTCTAATTTATCCTTGATGGAAGGACACTTTAGTACTGTAAAACTTCTCTATAGCCATAAACTGGATATAACACTACACACACACACACACACACACACACACACACACACACCCCTCTACCAATATTAAGAAACTGATAACCAAAGGAAATCACATTTTTAATATTATTCCTTTACTCAAACAGTTTTTCAGGTTTATCACATTTGGCCAGGGTTTGTAAATACAGAGGATGCTCATCACCTAGAAGTCACAATGAAACTAACAAATTTGGATGATCACAGAGGAACATAGATTCTCAGGTTGTCAGCTAGCAGTGGAAACAACTCTGGTTCCCAGCAGCTTTTCTGTGAGGAGGGCTTCTATAAAATACTCTATAACATAGAAACTTTAATAATTTACAGACTTTTACCTCTTTACCCAAGTTCTTCTTCCTGGAAACATTCATGATCAATGATTTTGAGTCTGAAAGCTGCCACAGTTTATTTTTTAAAAATAACTTTTGATGGGGTTTGTGAATATCTTTAAGGAGTTTTTTTTTTTAAGTGTAAGATGAAGCAGGATTTGTGGTTTAAAGTATTATCTTATTTGGGGCAGGATTTCAATTTTAGATTTCCAGATTTTTCTTAAAAGTGAGTTTTTCTTTTTAAAAAGGGGCATCCTTGAACTCTCTTAAGTTCTATGCAGAAATTTTAAGTTTATGTGCATTTTTCTGGGGAGAAGTTTCAATTTCTTCAGGACCCACAGCAATTTAAAATATACTGCCTTAGACTGTAGAGATTGTAAATAAGAATCTATTAATTTACAGTTATGAAGAAGTTGAGGTCAATGTGGTACAGAACTTTCAAGACAAAACAGAATAATCTGTTTTTGCTTTTACATAGTTGCCACCATTTAATACCATAATAAAAGCAGTCATATTAATCAGGGATAATAAAGTTGAAAGTTTCAGGAAAACTGCTTCATAATGATAGAGAGTATCCAGTTATTTTAACTGGGATTCTTGGCTTTTATGTCAATTATGAGACTAAACTTTGAGCGGTTCTACCTTAATTGCTCCTAGAATTTATATGTTGCCCAAATAGCAGGCTCTTTGTAACCCCCCCTTTTACTTTACACTTAACAGTTCTGTTCAACTCAGATTGTAAGGGATGGGAACTAAGTTTTAAAAACCACAAGTTTAGAACATTTTTTTTTTTATCCCCTGTGATGTGGGAACTCGAAAGCTTGGCTGTCTCTTTCCCTATGACTAACCACTGTAGCCCACAGTGAAAGACTTTGGTACCATGCTTATTTTGACAAATGTGTTCAGTTTCTTTTTGTTTCCCACAAGTCACATCCTAATTCTATCTAGCACTCAACAGTAAGATCCTTTAAGGAAGAGTCTGTTTTTCTTTCCAAGGATGTGAGGCTCTTCATTTTATATTATGTAATCATGAAGAAGAGATTTAGAGTTACTTGTATGATTTTTTTTTTTAATCAGTCTATAACATGGGCTTTCTAAATTGGTAAATGATACCTTTTCAATAGGAAAATTCTTCCAAGAGGATAGCTGAACCCAGACATGTCTGGAACTGTTGGCTTTCAAAACATAATTGGACATTAGAGGGAATTACTATACTGGATATATTGCCTCTCAGGAGTAATAATGATGAAACAATAGGGTTTATTAATAGGCTCATTTCAGATGCTCAGCTTTAAGCACAACAGACACTGAGTTTCATTCTACCTATTGAAAATACCCAAACAAGCATTCCAGGTTGGCAACATTCTTTCCGCAATTTAAATTCAGAAAGTCAGAATTTCAGCGTGTATTAAAATTGACTGCTGTTTCTACTTTGCTGGAAATCTTCGTTGGTTCAGCTTCTGACCTCCACTGCACGAAGACTCAGGGTCACAAAGGCTCAGGCCAAAAACATCCTGTTGGGTCCAACCGATCCAAAAGGTTGATGACACAGCAGCACACAGAAGTAAAGAATAAGGAGACCCTTCTGCAGCTTATAAGTTAAGCACTGTCCTTTATATTTTTGGTACACGAGGAAAGGTACAAACTTGATACCCACAATACTGTCTGCTTGTCATTTCTAGTCTGCAAGGACAAATTTGGGTCGAACATCCACAGTCTGAAGCTACCTTCCTAACCAAACCATTCTCTCCAATGAGGGAAAATACTGGTCAGGCCTGACATCCAGGAGATCTGAGCCTGCAGAGATGAATCCAAGAGCCTTGCCTCTCTGGGCCTCAGCAGTAGCTCTTCTTAGTAAACAGTGCACCAATTGCTGCCGTCACTGGGCATCAGCCCTCCAGTGATCAGCAAGATAAGGTCAACGAACCACCAAATCCCAAGTCCTCCAAGGGTCAAGAGCTTCCCCACTGCTGTGCCAGTGTGTCCCAGGCAGAAACGATCTACTCCAAAACATCCCAGGAAGAAAGAGTAAAGCAAAGTGGTTATGAAGTAGTGTCCGGTATACCTAGACAGAGGGAATCAAGAGGAAGATGCTTACCATGTGAAAATGAAAACACTTAATGCTTTATTAGTGAATTTCACATAAGTGACAAGATGGGAAGATAGTCCCTCTGTGACTTCTTACCAACCCCCTCTCCCCCAAAGGAAGATCTCTAGTTTGTCTAGATTCTCAAAAAGGTACTTTCTAAGGTATGGAGGGGGTTTCCCAGGTGGCTCAGTGGTAAAGAACCTGTCTGCAATGCAGGAGACACAGGAGACATGGGTTCAATCCCTGAGTTGGGAAGATCCCCTGGAGGAGGGCATGGCGACCCACTCCAGTCTTCTTGCCTGGAGAATCCCATGGACAGAGGAGCCTGGCAGGCTACAGTCCGCAGGGTCGCACAGAGTCGGACACGACTGAGCGACTTAGCACATGCTCACACAAGGTATAGAAGACCCAGAGGAACCAATACAGAGTTGGGCTGGATAAGAAACTATTAAGGACATTTACAGCACAGGTATCCTGGTAGGAGTGGTGTCTGGGTGCCCATCCCTTTCCTGAGTAGACTCCTATCCTGAGGGAGGCTGCAGTTCTGAATGTAGTTCTCTCATGAGGCGTTACCTCCCCCTAAATGAACACTGATCTCCACGTCTCTCTCCTGATGTTTCATGGCACCCGAAAAATGGGACTTCTTAGAAGGACTTCTGTCTTACATACTGTGATGACATTCAATTGCAGATACTCTAATGGCGTCACCTAACACAGTCACAACTCTCCATCAGCAAATGGTATACATAAGTTCTGTGCCTTCAAGTGGAGTTTACAGAAATAACCCTAACCTGCTTTTTAAAAAGTTAATTAATTTTTTGGCCGTGTCAGGTCTCAGTTGCGGCACTCGGGATCTTCGCTGCGGTGTGCAGGCTTCTCATTCTTAGCATGCATGTTCAGTCGTTGTGGCACGTGGGCTTAGCTGCCCCGCGGCAAGTAGGAGCTTAGTTCCTGGACCTGGGATCGAGTCCACATCCCCTACATTGGAAGGTGGATTCTTAACCCCCGGACCAGCAGGGAAGTCTCAATAACCCTAATTCTTCAAGATAATACTGCTTTTCAGGGAGAAAGGCTCACACTTTTCATAATAAAGTCTTTCTTCCTGAAATTCTACGGCTGTTTTCAAAGAACGTATGCCTATCGCAGGAGTTCAGAAGTTGGATCATCTGTTCCACCTCTTCATTTTGTGGAGGAGGGGACAGAGACCCTGGGTGCCCAGAGGTCCTTTAGCTGATTGGTGAAAGGGACATTTAGAATTCACAGCCTCTGGCCTCCTGTTCAGTGTCCCCTACGTTGTCACCTCATTGCTTGTGTCCGTGGAGTATGGATAGCAGTAATCATGCTGCCCTTTAACACTTAAGATCAAAGAAAAAGTCATAACACTTAAGGTCAAAGAAAAAGTCAACATCAAAACAGGGCAGAACAGCCCTACCTCCATCTAAGTACCAGCTCCTCCATGCAGATAGCACTTACTTTATACAAGGTTTGTTCTCTCGGAGGAAGGTCCTTGGGCTGGCACATTCGATTCCCTCCAGGGCCCGGCACTGCACGGAAGTGTGCTCCACATCTCTGTATGCCTGGCCCCCGAACTGCGGGGTGACAACCACAACAGAACAACCAAACTAGCCAGAGCGAGCAACACAAAACACCTCTTCATACAAACTAACAAAAGCTGGCCCGGGACAATAACTATCCTAACGAAGGTGGGGTAAAGCTGTGCAAAAGAGCGAGGAGATCAGTGACATACTTCAAGCAATTTTCAATGAGTCGGTCCTCAAGGGACATGGTTTTAAATAAACTCCTTTTCATTTTCTTTCCTTGTGACTACCTTCTTTGATAATATAGTAGAAAAGTTTAAAATCAGTTTCATTAAATGCCATTTTGGATTAGCGAGACACAAGGCTTTAATTAATCCCAGATTTATAGAAGAGAAGAGCACATGAGTGCATATTTGGGAACGGGTATTCAAAAAGTCAATGTGTAGAGACTATCATACAGAGTGAAGTCAGAAAGAGAAAAACAAATATCATGTATTAATGCATACATGTGCAATCTAGAAATATGGTACTCATGAACCTATCTGTAGGGCAGGGATAGAGACACAGATGTAGAGGATGGACTTGTGGATGTGGATGTGATGGGGGGATGGGAAAGGAGAGGAAGGACCGAATTGAGAGAGTAGAACTGAGACACATACGCTACCAAGTATAAAACAGCTAGTGGGAAGCTGTATACCACAGGGAGCTCACCCTGGTGCTCTGTGATGACCTAGATGGGTGGGCTGGGTGGTGGGGTGGGAGGGAGGCTCGGGAGAGAAGGGATATACGTATACATATAGCTGACTCACGCTGTTGTATAGCAGAAACTAAAACAACACTGCACAGCAATTATACTCCAATTAAAAAAAAAGTCAATGTGTATTTGAGGTCTATTTTATATATATTATAAATGAACATTGATAGGAAAGAACTCAGCATGTCAACTGACTCAGGACTTTACGCAGGTCTCGAAACTGTGATTTTCAGCTCACATCCATAGTAACGTAAT